CTCCCTGACATGGCTGCATCAACACTAACTGCGGTTACTGAAACCACGCCGCCTTTCTTTGCGTGCACATTTGGGCGAATTATGCAAATATTCCCACATAGTGACCTAGATATGTGGGGGTGTGTTAGAACGAGCCGTTTTAGGGGGGTGTGGCAGAGTCTTAACTTTCATAAAGAATATCTCTTTGGTTTTGAGACTTTAGTCTTTGCAACTTCAGGGATCTTATCTATTCACAAACAGCTTGTAACACTCCAAAGAGAAAGGAAAACTTGAAATCGCATCATATGACCCCTTTAAATTAATTAACGGTATAAATACAAAAACTGATGAATATACTTCTGTTCTATCTAGGTTCAGATCCCTCTTAATGACTATTTTGTTTTGGAAGGAAGAAGAAAAGGAAGAGATGTTTTGGAAGTGTAAGTATTGCCCTCATAACTGTGAAAAGAGAGCACAGCTAACGTTATATAAACATTAGCCCCCAGATTCACAGGCCAGTCTCAGACTAAAATGCATTTTCAAGCTTAACTGAAAATATCTTGTACTGACATATCTTAAAATATGTCAGTGTCATTGTCGTGTCTCAAGATGCACACCAGTAAAATTCTTAAGGCATTTTTATAAAAGGTATTTAAATATTCTAATTCTAATTTAATATATAATAGGGTTTTGGGGGGAGTATCTAGGTTCAGAGCCCTCTTAATGACTATCTTATCTTAAATATTCTAATTTAACCAAGGCCTAGTCCTGGCTTAAGCTAAACCCTGTCTGTGAAACCCTGTCTCTATGTTCAAACATGGAAGTTATACAAGAATGAAACAATGTTGTTGTTCACATCAGGCATGTACATACATTTAAATTACTTTATGCACTAAAATGTACACTTATGCCACAGTGTCCTCGTAGAACTCATAATTGCCATCTGTAATCTGGGAATTTTCTGAAAGCTTCTACTTGTACCACGTGACCACTGTACCTGACTGCTGCAGATTAATTTAGGCATTGATAGTGTTGCCATAGAAACGCACAGTTCCCGGTCCAAGGACATGAACAGCTCTAAGTAGAACATGGTGTGAACGCAGCATATGATCTTGAGTATTTGACAACAGCATTATCTAACTGACTTGATGATGTCCTTATCGATCTGTTTCTTCCTCTGTTAGGATGCAGCTGACAAGAGACTCCAGTAAGAATCCTCAGTGTTGATCAATCAAGTCCACAACTAAACCCATCTAGAGTGGGAATCATCTTGGAAGAAAACTTTGTAATGATGAACCGACCGATCTCAGGCCTTCTATGTCCATTTTTTCAGACTGATTTATGCTCTGCACCTGGACTAAGTGTATGAAAAGCACTTTATATTTTATTCAGCAGGTAATGCTCAACCTCGGAAAAGGTGAGTTAGCACCTAAAATTCAGTACTGCCAATATAGAACGCTTTGTAATGGATGAACCGACCGATCTCAGGCCTTCTATGTCCATTTTTTCAGACTGATTTATGCTCTGCACCTGGACTAAGTGTATGAAAAGCACTTTATATTTTATTCAGCAGGTAATGCTCAACCTCGGAAAAGGTGAGTTAGCACCTAAAATTCAGTACTGCCAATATTGTGAACTCAGAGTGGAATAAAACCATATCGTTTTGATGCCGTTTGTTGTGATTCTGAGAAACTGTTTTATGATAGTATGTTAAACTAGTTTTTTCATGTTTTATGGGGAAATGTTTTCAGATAAAAAAATCATGTTTTGTTGTGTTTTTAAATTAACATTTGGAACTGAATTAAAATAAAACAGAAAATTGCATGAATGTTCCTTTATTTGTTAGCTTTTTTCTTAATTTTCTAGTTTAACAAATTGGAAAAATAAAACAACTGATATAGATTTAACTTGGAAAAAATGTTTTCATTCATCCAATTAAAAAAATTTAGGGTAATGATTCACATCTATATTTTTTCACTTGAGCAAATGAAAAATAAATAACTTGCCCTAAACAATATTTTCTATGTCTATGAAAACTATTTTATAAAACCTGGCACAAAGTATATTTTTCTTGTTGAAGAAAGTCAATTAATTTAAATT